ATTAAAGACGTAACCTAAAGAAGTACCTTTAAAAATGCAGCCAACTCTATGCTGTTAATGTTGGAAATCTCTTTGATTACAGAGTTGTATAGATTTTTTACAAGCTCTTGATTACGTATGGGTGTTTGAGTTTTAAAAAATCCTAAAGCCACTATGCCCAATTCTTTAATATTAAAGTCATTGTAATAAGAACATATTTCTTGTTCGATATCATACATTGGTAGTGTTGGTAAAAACTTTCTACTTGTGTTAGCATAAAACATCATCTGAACTAATTGCTTAGGTGTCAACCTGAAATAAACAAAATTTATTATTTTTAAATCAATATTTCAAAAAATATATTGTACTGTCGTAAATGTATACCTATGAAACATAAATTAAATATTAACTAATGAAAAACATTTAATTTGAGACTACCAAATTGATAAATGATTATCAATATATTTACCTTGACGGCTTCCGAGCTAGCTTCCGGACACCTATCCAAACAAAATTGCTCAATCTAGACAACCTCATCAAGTACCAGTGGTCCATGAATAATAAAAGCTTGTTGAGAGTCCAACGCCTGTGCCTGTCAATGCACTGTCGGTCAAACTCAGACCATAAACGGTGGTAAGCGGGATCCTTRGCATCTTTAGTGTCCCACAGTGGTATGAGAGCAAATATAGACAGCAGCTGCTGGTCAGTCATTTGAGTCAAGACAGCAATCAGGCGGTCCCGAAGACCATCGTACAGGGTATCAGCCAGCCGGTAATCTCTGCCCCTAGCGTATGAGCTGATTGCTGTAAAGTCATTGAACACCTCGTCAGCCGTCTTAGCACTGAAGTCCTGGCTGATGAGCACATGGAACTGCTGAGCAGTAATAGCTGCTGGCCAGTCGACAGCGTGGGCGTCTGGATTTACGACAGTAGAACGATACCCAGGATCGTTGACCATTACGTTATGAGCGTTATGATTTTCTACATTAACGTAAGTAGTACGAAGTGCTGAAGAAGAATAAGAAGGAGAAGAGGCGAACACCGGCCAGACTTGAGCGAACGCATTCCGCCGCCCGTGATTATTGGCGAACACACGTCTGACGACAGCCAAACGACTCAGTGTYCGATTCATGGTACAACGCGATAGATGTCGATCAGATTTCTAAAATTACAACGTAYAACTTCAATCACCTAACATCGTCCATGTCTACATTATCGCTGTTTAGTAATAAATAATAACCCGAAACAGTAAACTCGAAAAAAAAAACACCACCAACGAATTGGCATAAATTGGCTGATAACAATTTAAAATTATTTTATTATCTATCAACATAGGATTAGGATAACAAACGAAAACGCTAGTTATTGATAAGCACAATAACGACGGGTTGCTACCAGTTTTACCATTTACTAAATTATCCATTATACATATTTTCCATAGAAATAGTAAACTTTGAAAAAGTGAACATTACATGTGTGATGTGTCATGTACAACCAAAAACCATTTTATCCAGCAACGTCATTACCAAATTTACCATTGTACAGTACAATGAGGTGTATTAGAGCGTATACGGGAGTATACGGCGTATACTTATAACAATATTTATAAAGAAATGTGTATACGTGAAAAAAATATTCATTTTATAGGTATACGGTGGGTAAATGTTGAGTATAGGGTGAATGGTGACAAATAAAAAAGGATAAACTATTATATTAATTGTTTTTGAAATTTAAAATTGGATTTTTAAATTCTGTGGTTTAAAATTAAAAATAATATTTTATGATTGAATATTACTTATCAGGTCGTATACGGTATACAGTCTGTATACTCGTATAATCTAAGATTGTGGTTATTGTTACGGCTGTTACTGATAGAACTACGAACTTTGAATTTTTAAATATAAATTTTGTAAATGCATATTTGTTGCATATATTAATGATTTTTACTACATATTTGTTGCGTATTTTAATGATATAAGTTAATTAATAATATAGGTATATAAAGATAATATTATTATTTTTATTATTATAATTTAAATACTAAATAGTTGCTTTGGGGATTTTTTTACGGGGATTTTTTTTCCGGGGATTTCTTTTCCGGGGATTTTTATTCCGATTACCGAACTAAGATACTATGGACTGGGGGTCTATTCTCGAAAACTACGTGAGGAAAAAGAACGAGTAAAATGTACGTAATCCGCCATTTTTACGTAATGTTTCAAAATTTCGTATTCTCGAAACTTTTCGAACGAAACGTATACGTAAATATTCGTAATCGACGTTCGTCAACCTCTGTACGTAACGAATTGATCGTTTCGTATTAATTATCATACCATTTGTTATCTTATTAGTTTTTTTTATTGGTTTATTGTCAATTTGCGTTTATGAGTATTTAAATCAAAACATAAACCGTATTTTTTAAGTATATTATTACTATATACAGTTTTCAAATAGTTTAATATACGATATTATAATTTATTTTTTTCGGGACTTGGGAAAATGGCGCTTGAAGAAATTGTGCACTTGGAAGTCTTGGGAATGTTAGAGGAGGCTGAAATTAGAGCTGTAGGTAATCGGCCTAGGCAATATTATAATGCCAAAAATGTTATGGAAGGTTGGTTTGTCTAATAATAATAAATAACCTATAGTGTTTATAGCCTTCTTAGTTCATACCTACTTAATTACATTATACATTTATACTCTTTATAATTTATTATATTTTTAGAACTATCTGACCACCAGTTTCTAAAAAAGTTTAGACTCAGTAAGGCTTTGGTTCAGGAGTTAATAGATGTATTAACACCGTACATGATTGAACCAAATAGATTATCTTCAATCCCAATAAAGATAAAAGTCAAGTCATAATTATTTATTTCTATATTATTAATAATAATTTATTATGATAAAATGTTATAAATATTATTAGGTTTTGACAGCTTTGTGGTTCAACCGGTCAGTAAAGTGTCACAACCGGTAAGTAAATCATCGACGTAGAAGTCGCTAGATATGACACGTTTTAGATCTGGATCTTCAACTTCAGTGGCCAACTGCAACAGACACCGTGTAGAAAGAAAGGATGCAGCCTTTGTACCGTAAGTGACTGTACGCAACTCAAATTCCTTTAATGACTGTGCCGGAGTTTCTCTGTACCAAATTCTTTGTAACGAGTGATCCTCAGGGTGTATAAGTACTTGCCTGTACATCTTAGCAATGTCAGCTGTTATGACTATAGAATGCATTCTTAATCTTAAGAGGACGTGTCACTAAAACGTGTACGCGTGCAACGGCCGAGAGAATGCGCTATTAAGTCTTTTCACGATGCGCAAGCACGCGACGTTATAGCCACGCCCATTACTCAGTGCCACTCGCGCCCGTTCGGGTCACGAGTCTCGGGACCGCCGTTTATTATTAAATGAACGTTCTACCATGACATATCACGGTAGGTAATATAAAAGTTATAAACCTAAATGCCGATGTATTATTTTTATTATCCGCGCTTACCCAAGAACTATTCTTTTTAAATGTTACTGCTTACCTAATTTTATAAATCAATAAACAGATTGTCAAAAATATAATACAACATAGCTTGATTTGTATTTATTGCATTATTGTCTACTAATTCAAATATCTATATTAAATATATATTTGGGTAGTRCCTAAATAAATACAGTGCAATCGAATTAATATTAATTACGTGTTTCATATTTTACATTCAAGTTATATTATTTTCCTTTTTTAAACATAATGATAGTAAATAATAATTAATGAAAATATATCGACATTTATACAAATACATGAAATGTTTCAAATCCTTATAACTATTAGCTTAAAAATAAGCGATATATATTTTGAAAATGTTAATCATAAAAAAATAAAAAAAACAATTTATATTATAGGTACTATAAATTCTTTCTTTTTTTTAATGTTCTCTAAAATGTGTTTCGGCTCTAAAATATCTGACTTCAATAGCCGTTTGCCATACCGTGGATGAACCAATTCGGGCAAAAGACATTCCTTATAAAATCTGTAAAATACATGATTTCAAGTTACAAAATTCAAATATTATGTTATTTACAACTGTAGTTGGTATTTAGTTCGTATTTTTACTTACGTTTCTAACTGAGTTTCCATTTTAGAACTCCAAAAGTTTTTGTCGAATTCAACTACATCATAATGAAGCCAGTGTTCAGAATATACTACAAAATAGCATACCTTCCTCTTTGTTATTTTCAACTGCCCTTGCACTTGGTAGTAGTATGAACTATCTTTTTTTAGTTTCATTTTACCGTCTACAATGCATA